GCACCAGAGCGCCTCATTGCCTCTAGGGTGAGTTTTGCCCTATTTTTGCAATGTATTGGAAGAAGCCCTTTCTGTTGTCCTTGACCTCCCTCGCAAGTTTTAGTTCCAAGGAGGCCTTAGCTTTTCTAACTGCCTCCCTACACTCTCTGACAGCAGTCCCATACTCCACCCAAGTGGCCAGCCCCTCCTTCCATGATTTATACACCCTCCCCTTCCACCTGAGTCTGCCCAGCAGATCCCTGGTTAACCATGCAGGTCTCCTGGATCTCTTTCTTGATTTCCTACCTGACTTACTAATTTAGTTGTCTAATACTCATGATGTAGGATGAAATTCTGCAAACAAACCTGTGTTTGGAGATAAAAGTGTGTTTTAGGAGTTTGGGGGGTGCTAATACCTCAAACTTCCCTAGTCTCCTTCCTGGCTCAGTGGTTATGAGCTGCTCATTCAGAGTAAAGCTTATGAGAAAGTACATGATAAAACTTATCCTAACCTGGTACTTGTCTGCCTTATATGTGAGGGAGAGATGTTTACTGTCTGTCTTGTGTGTGTGTGTCTTTAACAGTGTTGTCTGTATGAAGGTATCTGCTCTTAAACTCACATGTTAAACTAGTATGCAGCTAGAGATCAGTTTAAATATTTCTAATGCATCTGTTTTCAAAAGCCAGCTAATGGGATTCTGAAGCCTAAAAAGGATCTTATCCTTATGAAAGAGAGAAAGAAACAGAAGGCACTGGAGAAGGAGGTATGAATACGTTATGTGAGCACAATCCTGCAATATGTTTCCCACTTAACATAACCAAAAATACCAGCTGGTGAAGTTAACCCCTTGTATAAGATAGCTTGCAAATAGTTTAAAAACAGCTCCGTGCAGAGCAGAGATTATCAAGTGTTATGGCACGTAGAAAGGATTGGGTTCGGTAATGGAATTACATTAATTCCTCCTGATTATGAGCAGCTCTGCAGCCAGACTTTTTTTTTATTATTATTTAACTGTTTACTGAGATTTTTGCTTGGTAATTGACGAAATGTTAAAGTTTGAGGCAGCTAGCTTTTCCTTCTCAGTGCACTGCTGTGTGCTAACCTATGCCTCGTTTGTCTCAAATGTCACGTTTTGCCTTTATTCCACAGGCAAAGAGGAGAGCTTGCTTCTGTTGCAAGTTGAAGCTAAGGCCATTCGAGCTTTAGCGTGTTGTGCTGGCTCAGTAGCATAAAATTAGTCAGATGAAATAATGTGTGTAATGATAAAGGATTGTGGTGATTGTGTTATCCCCGTTCCTGAGTGACAGAGTTGAACATAGGCATTCTGAATGAAAGTTAATATAGTCTGCATACTTAGCCTCTCCTACAAAACCACAGGCATAAACTAATGATGCTTAAAAAGAATAACAGTAGAAAATAAAGAAAATACCTCTTTTGTTTCAGATTCGTGCGTTACTGAGAGAGCGTGGAGAGCAGGATAAAAAACTTCAGGCTCTGGATGAGGATTTTGTTAAGATTGAAGCAAAGCTGAGTGCTGCGGTCCAGGAGAAAACATCTCTGCTGGCAAATGTTGCATGCCTGAAGAAACAGCTTCTGGAGTTAACAAGAGCCAATGAACTACTCAAGTCAAAGGTATTCAGACAAATAAGCACATATTGCTTTGCTTTTGCTGTTATTAAGCCTCCTGGCCAAGAGACAACTTCAGTTGCTGATCAGCATCAGTTTTCCTGTTCCCCATTTCCCTCCCTGGGCACATGGATAGAGCATCTCTGGTTTGGGTTGCTGTGTGCCCCTGACTAAAGACAGGGTGGGACCCACCAGCACCCATCTCAAGGAGGGGCGGAGAGCGGTGTTGTGGGTGACAGGGGGACACGTGTGGCATAATTCATGTGAAGGAGCTATGCTTAGTGGTTTTGTGTTCATCTCCGAATGAAGATGTCTGAAGATGGTGTGCAGAAGAAAATGAGCAGTCTGTGCCTGGAGTTAATGAAGCTCAGAAAGAAGAGGGATGCCAAGGAGAAGGTACGGCCGTTGGCACTGCACGGGGTCGTCATTCGGAGGGGTTCAGGAGCAGATAGTGAAGGGCTCACCACAGAACGGCAGAGGGTGTTTTGGTTCTGTCCTCAGCTCGGTAGTTTCCTCGATTTTCTGTAAAGTGAAGACAGAGAAAGAAAGATCAAACAACAAATGTTCTTGATTTTGCTGTCTATGTAGAGCAAATGTGAATTCAAGTAAGGAAGCCTCAAAATACCTCTGATATATGATCAATCTGTTTGTCAGGATATTAATTTCTTGGAAAATCAGTGATCTGAAGTATAATTTGAAGCTCTTAACACATGCTTACGTTTTTTGGGGTGATGATGGTAGTTTTACAAGATGGCTAATAGCTTTACAGAGGGATGCTTTGAATCACGTGGTAGCAAGCACTATCAGTGAATTGTAGCTACGAATTCTTTTCAGTTTACCACTGTCTCTTAGACAATAGTTTTTTTAGGTTTTTTACTAAATTCATTTTGGTTGTAATTGTCTTTTTTTCAGACTGCACTTGCCAAGCAGGAAGATATGGAAATGAAGCTGCAGAAAGCGCAGAGGAATCTAGAGCATTCAAAAGGAAAAGTAGCACAGTTAGAAGAAAAACTGTAAGTAGTAAGGAAGGGAATTGACTTAGATCATTATATCCCCTAGCTGTGCTTATACCTTATAGTAAGCACATCGTTTAGGGAAAATACAGGCCACCTCCCTCCTGCGAGTGGTTAGGGTTCTGGGGTGCTTGCTTACGGCAGGATGTGGCTCAGCATCCTTGCTGCAAATGAGAAGAGTATATGGAGCAAGTATCAGACGAGGGTAGAATCACCTCTTAGAGCCAACACCAGTTTGCCAGCCAAACTGAAGTATGAAAATTATCGATTTATGGAAATATGAAAAGTATGAAAATTACTACGAAGTTGTGATTCAATTTATTTCTATTTGCTTATCTCTAAAGAAATAGCTCCCAAGTAGCTCTAGATTTGTTTTAGTACACCCATCGTAAAAACTTCCTCGTTTTAGGTCAGCTACTGAGAGAGAGAAAGTTGAAGAGAAGTCTGACACTGAGAAACTGCTGGAATATATCACAGAGCTCAGGTAACAACAAATTGTTGTTAAGTTGGACTGGGTAAGTTAAAAGCAATAAAACTCATTTCTGACTGCTGCAGCAGAGCTGTTACAACAATTCTGTTCAACACTATTAAAAAAGAGGCGGGAAAGAAATCAGGTGTTTTTGCACATAATGGAAATGAGTTGTAAGGCACTATTTTAATTATCTTTCTAAAGATCTCTCTGCTTTTCTGGGCTAAGCAATACTAGTGCAGAGTTGTGTGTCAGGCTCCTGAAATTGTTTTTAGCCTGAGCTATTTGTACATAAATCAAGCTAAATCCTTTTCACTCTTTTGTACTCCCGAGGTACTGGCAGTAATGTCTCCTAGCCCTCACCTGTGAAACAATGTATAGCAGGGCAAAAACCCCTCCATTGTGGCTTCTGGTGACCTTCACAGTACTCCGATTTAATGCGAGAGTTGTGATGAGTTCCATGTGTATGACTGTCATTTGGATTCTAAAGATCACTCCTCCAGTGCTTTGTAACTGACTTTAACCAGTGTTCACAGCCATGTGTCACTGGCTCAGGGCATGATGAAAATACAGAAGTCTTGCAGTTTAACTAGTTCACTCTTTGCCCACAACCTCCACTATCAATTTACTCATTGAGAGAGACCTCTTTAACTGGCTATATATTTTAAGATTCTGCTTATTCTTGTAAAATCTGGTTTATTAATGTATATGATTTTCTGTGAAAACTGAGCTTTGTAAAAAACCTTGGTGTAGGAGTCATCTGTAAATTCTAGTGACTGATTGTTTTAATCAAACCTTTATATTGTAGTTGTGTGATCCACAAGTTTCTTTTAAAACAAAACATCAATGTTGAAATAGATTGCTTTTAATTAAACTGTCTTCACTGTGCAAAAACTTGTGTTGGGCAAAGTAGGCAAAGGCAGTTTTCTTGCCCTCAGCATTTTTCCATTGTGATGAAGTGTGAGCTTTCAAATGAAACTTCGAGGTAACGGATACCAAATTTTCTCCTGCAGCAGTGTTGCAGAAACAGTTGAGAAATACAAACTAGATGTTGCCCGCATGGAGGAGACAGTGATAAAGAAAGACCAAGATATGGAGATCCTGAGGGATACTCTCAGAACAAAAGAGGAGGAATCATTTAAGCTGATAAAAGAACTTAATGAAAGGTGTCAATTGCTTCAAGAAGAAAAAGGTAATTGTTAGTGCTTGTCTGCTCTCCACGTGGGTGGGGTCACTGACATATCTTAAAGCATCTCTGATAGGTTTGCTCTAAGATGTTGATTGAGCCTGGCTTGTTCCAAGTGCAAAGTCCCCTCCCTAAGGTGCAGCTGAGCATGGCTGGGCATATTTCTAACAATAAGGAAACTCCCTCGAATCGGTTATGGCTAAACTTGTATTTCCATGGAGGCTTAGGAAGATAGATAGGATAAAATGAAAATTGCTTACATAGTAGGACTGGCTTTAATCTGGAAGGTGAACACAAAGCTTATCTTTGTTGAGAAACAGTAGGATGTTGTCTCAGTTTGCGGTTAGCAGCTTGTGCACAAATTCATGGAGGGACTGGGAACGGGTCTAGGAATCCTTCCTCACCTCTCTCCTCCCTCTACCCCAAACCCAGTGACTCTGCAGCCTGATACCAGTGCTCAGTTCTCTGTGCACCCCTTGGCTTGTACGTGCTGGTGTTATGTGAAAGAAGCTGTGGGGAAATCATCTTGTTCCTCCCCAGCCATAGTGCTGTTCTGATGAAGGCTGATTGCTTGATCCAAAGATTCCTTCTGTTAAAACTATTTCGGAAGTTGTGTGCTTTCAGCCAATTTTGAGGAGTTTCCAAATTGGTTGAAGATGTGGTTTTGGTTTGGTTGTTGGTTTGTTTTTCCCTTGCTTAACTAACTTTAAAGCTAGAATGGAAGTACTAAGAAGAATACATGTTGTAGCTCTTTGAAGATAGAGAACAGATTTTGTGATACTTTTACAATTCCTCTATACAGAGAAGGAGTTGTCTGAGACCAAAGGAAAGCTCCTGAGTATGAGTGCTGAAATAGAAGACCTGAAAAAAAAAATGAGTTTAGAAGAACAAGAACACCAAAAACTGCTTGAGAAACACGAGGAGGTGGTTTCTCAGCTACAGCAAGAAAAGGTAGATACAGACTATAAATCTCTCCCAAAATAGACTCTAATGCTGGTGACTGGCGCTAAAAATTGTGATTTTGGTTACACACAAGACCTCTGTGTTCGTGGTGGTCTAACGAGGGGAATGTACCAGTGGGTGCTGGCAGCAGAAACTGATCCAGTAGCTCTAACAACCACAGCTGCTGTGATGGGTGTTCTGGTTATTCCTGTAGATTCAACATTATTCTTGTGCTTTAATTTGAACATTGCAAATTAGCCTTTAATATCTAGAAAAGTACTGGTAACAAGTTTTAAAATGTGTGGTACTCTGACATGCAGGAGTCTTCTGCATCGATGCACCAGAAGTTGCAAGAGTTTCAAGATGAGGTAACGAGTGAGAGACGTCTTCTTGAAGAAGAGCTGAATGGTGCAATGAAGGAGCTGAATAAATTACATGCAAAGGAGAAGAAAGCTGAAAAGCTGGTGAGGCATTTGGAACAAGAAATCAAATCTCAAGCTCTTCAACTTGCAGAGATGGAAGTGAAGTTGAAAGGGTTTGTGAAATAAACTTTCTAAAGCTTTGAAAGGGAAAATACTGCAATTGCAGTAGAAGCAAAGGTTCTAAACCTAATCCAGGTGTGTTCAGACATACTTATCTCCAGCACGGAATGCTGAATTTTGTTTCAGGAAGAACGCCGAGTTGGAGGAAATCAATGAAATGCACAGCAAAGCTCTCTTCCAAATCCAAGAAGAGCACAGCAATACATTGTGTAAACTTGGAACAACTGTTGCTGAATTTGAAAGGTATTTCAGTTTCATTAAGACCTAAGATGGGAGTTATCTAGAAGGTGACAAAATATCCTGTTTACTTGTGTGCCTTGGCACGTAATGCTGTACGTAAGCACTGGTAAACTCTTAAAGCAGGAGGGTTATGGTGGAGTATTTGATGACATTAAGAAATCTGTTTATTCCTGTAGTTGACTGTAATGACAAACTCTGTATCTAGTTCAGGAAAATTGATATTTTTTTCTTCCAAAGTGTAACCAGTTAGAACACTTGAGTGCTCTTGAACCTCAGTGAGAGTTGTAGCTAGTGAGGCGGTTCTCTTTGCACTAAAACCTCTTGCAAAAAGGCTTCTTTGGGCACTGAATTGTGATTATTTTGCCACAGTTCTCGCAGATCTTTCCTCTCAAAACACTCAGATTGTGGAAGTATTTAAAAAGCGATGCTGTTGTTGCTAAGGTTGCCAGGCACCTGCGAAGGATTCAGTGGGATATTTGCAAATGCAAGCTGCAGGTAGTAGGTCTTTTGATGTTTAAAATAAGCTGCAGATGTAGTAGGTCTTCTGTGTTTTAAATTATCTACTAACAATGTGAAAATAACTGCACTGCAGAATTTGTTATAGTGTTACCGCTTATGGCTTTATAGGAACGTGGTTGGTTGTTTTCTCGGGCTGTGGATTTGTCAGTGCCAGAACACTGCCACATCTCCAGATTACAAAATCTCTTGCACTTGTTAGCATGAGCTTGTATTGCTCTTCTAAGGCCTGAACATGTCAATCTGCGTTTTGCCTGAAGTGACAAGATTTTTCTTATTTGCATTGTAGCTACAAGAATGCAGTAGCTGAGGAAATACACGATCTTAAACTGGAGAATACCTCTCTGCAAGAGGAAATTGCCAACCTAAAAAAACCAGGCCAAGATAATCTACAGCTGCTTCATGAAGCCGAACATGCTAAAACCAAAGCAAAAGAAGAATGTGCAAGGTACGAGACAGACAAACTTTTCCCAAAGCTAAAGAATGCCCGCTAAGGCTTGCTGCCTCAACTACAGCTGAACATGGTGCTCTGTCTGAGGAAATCAGTATGTGGTAGAAGCTTATTTCTTTCTTTTCCCAGTGCAGAGGGTTAGAAATATTGACAGACAAGTGTACCAGGTGAGCAGCAACAGCCAGGAAGTTGTCTTAGGCCAGGAGCTGAGGACGTGGTTCCCTGAGTGACTAAGAGCAGCTCAGAGGTGTAAGCACCCCTGCCAGGGCGTGGGCCAGTCCCTTGCTGAGGGCAAGTAAGGGGCTGCTGGAGGAGGTGGAAGAGCTTGGTCTTAAAAGGCCCTGGTGGGCAATCACCCGTGCTGGGCAGCTGTGGGGCCTGCCTGCACATGAGCTGTGTTGCAGGCCACGCTGTGTATGTGCTGGCAGATTTCTTCCCTGGCTTGTTCTGAAGTAGTCCCTGGCAAGCTGCTGAACTTGGAGGTGGTTTTACATCAGCGATGTGGGTAGATTACCTAACTGTATTAAAATGCTGTTTTGGCCAAACTGAATCTCTCTCTCTTTGCAGATTTATAAAATGCCTCTGTAAAATTCTGTAATGCTTCGGCTGTCTTGTTTGTGCATAACTAGAATATTAAGATTGTCTTGAGGAAAATCACCACTTACTCCAGGTTATTTTAAAACACTTGTGCTGATTAAGGGGTGGCCCTTTCTTCTCTACCTGCTTAATATTACCTCCAGTCCTCCATGAAGTTAGAAAAGCAGCTGAAGAGTTTTTTCCTGTTGGATTTGCTGGTGGGGTGTGGCAATCTCCACCTGGGCATTGTATCAAACAGCTGAGGCTGGAGAGGGAAGGAAAGGCTTTTAGATATCGAGTTTCTGAATCCGCAAGTACATCCACACCCATCAGTCCTGACTAGTTTCTGCCTGAGCAAATTTCTGCATGTGAAGTCTGGCTACTGAAGTGCCTTCCACTAAAAGCTGCTGGTACTAAACAGCCATTCGTTGCTTCAAAAGCACTGCTTGCTTCTTCATAGGGGAAATTAAAAATATTGTACATCTTAAACCTGAATGCGCGCTGTATGGTTGTTCTCCTCTTGTAGCTCTGTTTGTGCAAACCTTTATTTGGGTTCTTCTGTTAACAGCTTTTCAATCGTGGCTGCTTATGTTTTCACATTTAAAGTAGTGTAAAAAAAATAGATAATGAAGAGTTCACTAAGGGTGGTTGCTATTTTCTTCAGGATGCTTTTAGAAGTGCAGACAAAGCTTGCACTAAAAGAAGCAGAAATGGCGAGAACAAAAGAGTCTTGCCTCGCAGAAGTGACTAAACTTCAGGAAGAACTGGAAGAGCAAACTCAGGATCTGAAAAGAAAACTCGACGTGGAAAGATCAAGGTGACTCTTCTCAAATTGAACCTGCGTATTATAGCACATCAAAACTTTAATTAGAGGGAAGTACTGAGAGCTAGCAATGAACCTGATAAAACTCTACTTTTTGCTTTTTTTAGGAAAACCATAGATGAAGATATGGCCTCTAGCTTAAAAGAAGAGATAAAGACCTGGCGTAATCGATATGAAGACCTACATAACAAAACTAAGCCTTTTCAGGTGTGTTATGACATGGGGGTTTATTAGTATCTGTTGACTCAAGTTCTACTCTTGAGCAGTAAGCATGCTGTCTCTGATTCTGAGGCATTTATCCTGCAGTGGTTTTTTAACTCAGTGTTCTGTGAGCTGGCTATTCCCCTTCCCAAACCAATCTCTCTTTGTAGATTTCATTTCTGTACAAAGCTATGTTTAATTTAAAGATTTCTGAAAGTTCCTTTATATATTTCAGCAACAGCTAGACGCATTTGAAGCAGAGAAGAATGTGCTCTTAAATGAGCACAGCGCAACCCAAGAAGAACTGAATAAACTAAGTGATGCATATGCTAAACTACTTGGCCACCAGAATCAAAAGCAAAAAATCAAGCATGTTATGAAGTTGAAGGAAGAGAATATTCACCTGAAGCAGGTTTGTGCAATGACAAGTTAGAAATCTGCAAGTTATTCATTTGTTTGATTCCTTGTTTCTTGCTCTAAATATTTCCAGACTAATCCTGCTAAGTGCTTCCTTTTTATGGTTCTTAAATTCCCTGGAAGAGCTAGATCAGAACAAAGCACCGGCCTCCAGAAACACCAAGAGCTGGAAGTTTGAGGCTAACCCAGTGTTTAGTGGTGCTACACAGCAATTGTACAGCGGGGCTGGTTTCTCTGCACCTGCATGGTTTTGGCTTTGGGTCACTTTTTAATGTCACCAGTAGTTGCATATGTGTGCTTGTGGTTAGCGTTTGTTAAAAGGGCTACTTCAGGCTTTTCTCCTGTTCTCTAACTTCCAAGTCTAATGTTTTCTTCAGGATGTGTCAAAGCTGCATGCATTGCTAGCCAAAGAGAAGCAAACCAGCAGAGATCTTCAGGAGCAACTACATGCGATCCAGGGCGTTAGGCGTTTCCATCCTTCCAAAGCTTTCCAGCATGACAGCAAGGAAAATATTGCTCCGAAAACTCCTCTTAAAGAAGGTAAGCTTAGATATTGCTGTAACCACATCCTTGTACCTCTTGAACTTAACCAAAGCAGAAATGATGGTCTTGCACAGCCTGCTGCAGTTGGGGCATGAAGGAGAATGGCAGCTCTGTGTGTCAGGGCAGATGTTGAACAGTTGCATCAATGGGCCACTTCCCCTTTACTTGGCACTGGTGAGGCTGGACCTTGCGTACTGTGTTCAGTTTTGGGTGCTGCAGTACCAAAAAGACATGGAGGTGCTGGAAATGTTCCAAAGAGGGGCGATGAAGCTGGTGAAGGGTCTCAAGAATAAGTCTTAGAAGGAGCAGCTTTGGGGCTGTTCAGTCAGAAGAAAAGGAGGCTGAGGAGAGACCTGATTGCTCTTCACAACTATCTGAAAGGTGGCCGTTGGTCTCTTCTCACAAGTTACAACAAATGGGACAAGAGGAAATGGCTTCAGGCTATGCCAGGAGAGTTTTAAGTTAGACATTATAAAGTCTTCTACGCCAAAAGGGTTAATCAAAGACTGGAACAGACTGCTCAGGGAAATGGCTGAATCACGGTCCTTGGGTGTGTTAAAAAGCTGTATAGATAGAGGGCTCAGCAACGTGATTGGGAAGTGGGCCTGGCAGGGTTAATGGTCAGGGTTAATGGTCAGACCTGATGATTTGGAAGGTCTTTTCCAGCCATAACAATTCTCTGATTCCCATGTAGGGCTTGCTGTGGTGCCTCCCAGGGTCTTGTCATCTGACCAGAGCAGGTGATGTGTGAGATCAGGGACCAGAGGGGGTGTGTGGCAGTGAGAAGAGGAAGGAGCAGGTTACAGAGAATCAGCTGCTTTGCATGATCTTGCAAGATGTGAACTTTGCTTTGCTACTCTGTATCACACACAGTTTTCCTTCTGCCATGCGGATCAGGGGCTGAGCAGTGTCTCCTGTGCAGCAGTTGGGGGTGGGAGTGGCTCAGTCAGAGGTCTGGGTCGCGGTGGGTTGGCTGCTCCATGGCAGGAGCTGACCCTGCTGCAGGTGTAGCTATGAAGTGCCAGAGGCCGGCAGGTGAGCGTGGAGTGGAGGGAAAGAACCGAGAGTGTGGCTGCACAGGAGGGGAAGTAGCGCAGGAGTGGGGGAACTCAGCCACAACTTGATTTTACAGCGTGTGCCAGGATGTGAAGTTCTGGCTGGCCTGTTGCATGGGGCGTAGTGCCTTCCTCCCGCTGCCAGCAGGCAAGGCCTTACCTACTGTGGTGGGAGCAGTAGTGGAAAACTCAAACTGAGTAACGTTTTTTCTGTTGCAGGCAATAAAAACAAAATTTAATCTTTTCTTGATACTAAGAAATACTTCACGTGCTACAGAAGAGTTCAACAGCCTACTCGTTCAAGGTGAACTCGGATGCTGTGTGTAATACAAAGTAGTAGCACTAGAGAAATGGTCTATAATGTTAGATTTTTAGAAAAAGCTATGCTTGGTCATACTCTTACTGCAATGCCACAGGTGACTGTGTGTTACAGGCTCCTGGTAACAGTATTGCACTCTGAACTCCAAAGAGTACTCCTCCTGTCACTGTTTTTGTATGCCCAAGCTACTTAGTTTGGTTTTAGCAGAGCAGCTTAAGTCCCAAAAAGGTGAATAAGCACTTGGAGAACAAGGATGACAAATGAAATCTGATTTCATCACAGACTCTTTTTGCATTTCTCTCATGTACACATCTTTGTGTTAAATTAATTTTGCGCTTTATGGGTTTTTTAATACTAGCGGCAGGAATGCTGCCAAGAGACCCTTTGCCTACCTGATAGAGAACCAATGTGGAGAACAGGACTGTACAGTGAGCTGATATTCTTAAAGGGATTTATCTTTGGGATATGGTAATTTAAGTCCTGCGGCTAGAGATTGCAGCTGTTGTTCTTCAGAAGAGGGTCAAACTCAAATTGCCTGCATTTTCTGAAATATTTGCATGCTGTGACTGAAATTAGTGTCTTAAGAGAAATGCCTGTTTTATGAATGCTGTGCTCACCGAGCTCTTAAATTGTTGTAATATCTTTGTAGCCGGCTGTTGTAATTGATTAGTGCTACCTGGAGGAGAAAAATAACAGAACTTGTCTTAATTGTTTGAGAGGATACACGCTGTACGGATTCTGTTTAACTACATCTAAAATTAAGAACTCCTTAGCACAATAAAAATTTTAAATTAGAGAACTTGTCTGTTTCCTTTACAAACAGGATAAAAACCAAAATCAAATTACAGTGTAACTGACCCTCGTGTTCTTTGTTTTAGTCTTCAGTCTTTCAAACAAAGCCCAATGTCAGTATTGCCTCGAAAGCGGTGTATTTGCTATCTACTGGAATTATGTAGCGGAACTGTACAGCACGTACAACCTGCAGTTCCTGTATCCTCTCATTTCCTGTGAATCTCTCGTAACGCAAAAGTAAATGCTGGAACTTAAGTGCAACCTGGAACTCTTGTGTTCTTGTTATTGTATCTACTAATATCCTGCGTCTGAGTGCTGCAGAGAGATGCGACGCAGAGCTCAGCGTGTGAAAGATATTGCCAGTTTTACTGAGGTTATAAGCTTACAGGGAATTGGTAATAGCTAGAAAATGAGATGCTGAAAATGCATGTTAAGTCCAAGGAAAAATTGTCAGATCTTGTCTGTTGATGTTGTCTCTGCTGGTTTACTTGAACTTCTGAACACGGAGGGTGAGCACTACCTTCAGGTGTTTGAATGGAGAAATACTCAGTGTTCAGTTCAGAGTTTGCCTAAAGTGCTGAGGGGCACGGTGAAGAAAGGGAGTTGCTGAAAGAATTTGCTACTGGAGTTTATTGCTCCTTGTGGAGAAAGAGGTAAAAGCTTTCTTGTCTCAAACATGTAAATGGGGTGAAAGAAAATTGTGGAAGTGTGTGTTTGACTGTGTGTTAATCTGACTCACTTGGCACAAAGTTTCACTAGAAATCTCGATTTTGCACAGCTCCTACCTCCACTGCTCAGTGGATGTGGGAGGAGCAGTTGGTCAAACCGAACTCCATGTAGTGAGCAGCAGGGGAAGCAATGAGGGACTAGTGGTATGAATCTGTAAAGAAGAAACAGCACTCGACAGCTCTTACACTGGAGTTCTTCCTCACAGGCTGGCATTAATCTTTCACGTGCAGTTGCTGGAAGCTGCACAAGTCCTGTGCTCTTCTGCTCACATGGGGCAAAATCACCACGTCCAAGTCTGGTGAAACGCCTTCATGTCAAAAAATGAGGCATCCTTACTTTAAGGTATTTTTTTAACATGTAAATAGGAGAGATTAGGGCAAGTGAATGTTAACAGAAGGTTCCACAAAACTCAAACCATGGAAATGGGGCCACTGAGTCAAGGTGCAATTTTTAACCGAACCTCCTTTTTGGTGTTTAATGTGCCTTACATCAAGTCAGCAAGAGTGTCAAAGGGTGAGGGTGTGTGAGTGGTGTCAAAGGGTGAGGGTGTGTGAGTGTGTCAAAGGGTGAGGGTGTGTGAGTGTGTCAAAGGGTGAGGGTGTGTCGAGAAGGAAAGCGCTGCCGAGGTCCCAGGAATAAGCTCTGGCGATGGCTGCACACTTTCACACAGCCTCTGTTCTTAACCCTTTCTAGCTTAGTTGGCAGTTTTGCCTTTTTAGGCTGCCAAGAGCGTGCTTATATTGACAAGAGGATGGAAACTCCAGCAAATGATTATGCCAGCCCTAAAGCATTGCTGATTTTTTTGTTTAGCTTTAAACTATAGATAAATAACGCAGATCAGACTGGGGAGAGAATAAAGAGTAGGGGCAAAGTGGCTGTCTTGAGTGCTCTGGGCCAACTTGAAGCTAAGAGGTTTTGCCAGTTTCCTGCATGTATGAAATGCGTATTGAGAAATGAAACGTCAACACTTCATAGCTCAACCAATGTAAGTGTCAGTTATTTTGAACATTTTTTTTAATTGACAAAATATTTAAGAAGAAATTGTTTCTCTGATCGTCCGTCTCACCATATTGTAGAAAGATCTGGGCTGTACTTAGTTTAAAAGTAAAATGGAGAGAGCTGCTAGACTCTTCAACCTGGCTGACCTAATTAGAGCCCTCCTCCTGTTTCCTAGAAAAAGCAAAGCGCCTAAGACTCGGTGCCAGCGCTTTGAATAAATTTTACGCACACAATGGCTGCGCTTGTTCACGCTGGCTGTTACCAAGTACAAATTTCAGCTCGTGCTGAGCTGCTTAAATGGTACCACTGGGAATAACCCGAAAGCTCAGCGGGCGTCAGAGCCGCACGTGACGCAGGGCTTGGATTAGCGCTTTGGTTCCAAAGGTGAAGCAGCGACTGCTCCTTCCAACTCCGGGCGTTCTCTGCGGGCAGGCGAGAGCAGACAAAGGGGCAAAATTTGGAGGCGATGCCCAAAATGCTGGTGGGAACCGCACAGGTAAGGCTCGGGGTGTTTGCACTGACAGCCTGTGGGCGAGCTTCGATTGCAGGATCTAGGCAGGAAAGAGAGACACGTAATTAAGCTTTTTTTCTCTGTGAATTACAGCCGAAATGTGAATTTAATGGGTGGTGCATTAGTCGCTCAGTAATGCAGCGACTGGGACGTTGGCCCGGGATATTTTTTTTACCTATTCCAGGCGCTCATAGTGTTTCCCAACGCAAAGAGACGATGTTGGGGCCGCGCCGGAGCCGACGCCCCCTCCGAAGGGGACG